GNGAGAGAGTAGTAGAGAGAGAGAGAGAGAGAGAGAGAGAGGCGAGGAACGCGCTTCGCTCGTTATCGGATCGTAACGCGAGCATTTACACGTAGCACGCCCCCTCAAGATGGCCGTGGCGCTGATTTATGCTAGTCACCGGAGCAGGAAAGTTGAAATCCATACCCCCGTCTACGAGGACACCCAACCCTTATCGCGTTTGCTCGTCCCGGAGGAGGAGGAGGTGGCTCGCCTTCTCTTCTTTCCTGCCTACGTGTATGTATATACACGTACGGGAGAGACGACCTTCAGACGGCGCTTTTGCCCACGGAAGCGGCTGTTTAAAACTTGAAATTGAAAAGGCCTCCTTTGTCAATGCGAATGCCGCTGTCATTACGAATCGTTTCGCTGTTCCGCGGAGTGTAACGTTTTCGTGCTCTCTCTCTCTCTCTCTCTTTCTCCTCGCGCGTAACTAACCAGGACACCCATTAAGAGGCAGCGTTGCGTTAACGCAATTTTCTCCGGCTAATTTCCATTGTTGAGAATCTCGTCTCGTCTCGTTACTTTATTTTATCTCGATGAAAAAACGTCCCCTCCCTTTTTTCCCCTCTTTTCGATCGAGAGAATCGAGTAAGTAAGAATGAAAATTGTGGAAAAAGTGGGGTTGTAGAATGGGCTGTTTCTCGTGGGAGAAAGAATATGGATGGATAATGAACGTGGGCGAGTATATAATAATAATTCCAGGCCTCGGTGGATCGTTACCTCGGTGGGGCGGACCCGTGCAACGTTCCTAATAAAACGGCCACCTTTTTCCTACCTTCAGCTCGCTACTATTTCGGTCTGTCATCAAGATCCGTAATGATAGTCCCAGGGATATGGAGACACCCGCGTTCGAAACGCCGCGTCGTTACGATTCCCCTCACGAAACAAAGTAACGAACTCGAGTTGTTACTTCGGGGCAGAGATCGAGATTCCTTTACGAGGCATCGAACTCGTTAACCGTCACCCGAAATCTTCGAGGATGAAGGAGGGAGGGGGGAGGAGGAAGGTGAAAGAGAAAAGGAGAACGTGAGAGAGAGAGAGAGAGAGGCGGTGAATCGTGGCGGTTGATCTTGGCTCGGTCGACAGATCGCATCAACGAGATGATCGCGGAGTACCATCTCCAACGGTTTATCGTCCACCTTGCGAGCACGCCCAGCTCGGTCGGTAGTGCCTACATACCTGTTTAAGACTCTCCCCCTCCCTCTCCTCCTCTTCCTTCCTCTTCTCGTTCTAGCCGCTGCCGCTCGACTCTCGTTGTTACGCGTCATGTCTGTCGAGCCGCATTAAATCGTACAAACCATCTCGCGGGGACGGTGAAAAGAAGCTTTATGCTCTCTCGTCTCGTAATTCGTTCCAAAGAAGAAAGCGGTTGAAAAATGCCGCGTCGAATCGAGATCGAAAATATTCGAAATTATTCGTGAAAAATGGCGAACACGTGTCCAATATATGGATAAAATTCGATCGAGCGTGGCACACCTGTGTCGCAAAGGAATAGAATAAAAAAGGAAAAGGGCGAAACGTTGCCTCGGCTAGGTGTAACTGGAAACGAACTCGAAAGCGAGAGGAGCGATCGGTCGGTTTTGCTCGATCGAGTGCAAATTACGCGTCGTGTAACGAAACGCGTTGATGGCGTGCTTTTATTAAAAAAAAATCTCCTTACAAAATACACACGGCGGAGTTAATTACCCCTGAGTCGATATCATACGAGGGTTGAGAGGAGGAGAGAGAGAGAGAGAGAGGCCGATGGATTATTCTATACAGGGGGAGGGGAGAAACTTCATCAGCTGCGATATTATGCATGGCGCGGAAGTCATGCTTGATGAAGTATGGCGATTAAGCGGTGTACAATAACAGATTGGAAGCACGAGGGCGTAACGTAATATTATTAAGAAGCCGTTTTCTGTTGGTAGCCGCGAGTTGGTCCGAACGCGTGAAACTACCATCTGTCGGAGAGAAATGTGTCCATCTGCCGGCCCGTAGTTAGAAAGCTACGCGAAAAGTTTCTCCGTCGCGAGAATATCATCCTATTACTCAATCAAGCGGACGAATTAGTGAGACGAATTAAGAGGAATTACCGGGGGTTGAGAAGAAGGGGGGGAAAAAAAAACGTGTCGATCGATGCCCGGGGTGAACAAATTTCCACGCGAAATTATAGGCCGTTAGACGATAGAGGAACATCGATTACCGACCGTAGGAAACGAGATTTTGACAAATACGTAATCGCCCCGGGGAACGTTGCCCGATCAATTATATCGGCCCCTTTTCCCCTGTTCCAAGCGTGCTCTCGAACAAAGCGTCGTTGTATTTTGCACGCGTATGTCGAGCAGAATCGGCAAGAATAATTATCGCAGCGAAAGATCGTCGAATTCGCGAGGCGATCAGATCCTAACGATCGTTCGCATTAAGGGATCCGATCTGCGGGGGCTCTCTGGCCCCGTAATAACCTTTGGGACCGGTTAATTAAACCACTCGTTTCGCGATCTCCCTTCGATGTTTGCAGCGACTCGCCTCCGAGCTGGTGTTCATAGACGCGAACGAGGAATTGGCGAAAGCGGAGGCGGAAGACATCAGCCATGGCGCGGCGTTCCTCGGCAATCCGAAGATCATCGGCACCAAAGGTGAACAAGGGAATAAATTTTTCGTTATTTTTTGGGACCGGAGGCGGAGGGGAGATAAATGGCAATCGAAAGGTTTCGACTGTTTCTCAGATTATTCGTTGGCCAGAGACGCGACGGTGTGCGTGATCACGATCGGGGATAGATCGACTCACGAACAAGATCCGAGCACTTTGTTGGAGCAAAATTTGAACATCTTCAAAGACGTTATACCCAAAGTGTGCAAGTACGCGCCGAACAGTATACTTTTGATCGTCACCGCTCCAGGTACGTTCTCTTTTTTTCTTCTTTTCTTTCTTTCTTTTTCTTTTTTTTTTTTTGTAATTTTTACACGTTGAAATCACGAGCACCACGACAATTTCAGTCGACATACTGTCGTACGCAGCCATGAAGCTCTCGGGCTTCCCACCGCATCGCGTGGTGGGATTGGGCACGTTTCTGGACAGCTGTAGGTTTCAATACTTCATCGCGCAGAAACTTGGGATTTCGGCGAGCTCGGTGCAGGCCTCCGTGATTTGCGAGAACGGGCCCACGTCCGGTAAATAAACGTCATCGTTTTCGAGAATGTGAAAAATAAAACAGTTTGTTCGAACAGTGCCGATCTGGTCCGCCGTGACGGTGATGGGCATCAAGCTGAAGGACATAAACAAAGACATCGGAACCAAAGCGGATCCGGAATCTTGGGGCGAGCTGCACGCGAAAGTAATCGATTGCGATAACGATCTTATCTCGAGGAAGGGATATCGGTGCTGGGGGATGGGTATCT